GCGATACCATTTTGCAGATTTCTCAAAGCTTCAAAGATTCCATAAAGGGTTTCTCTCAGTACGGATTGGGAGGCATTGTGTGGTCTGGGCCAGGGGGTGATGTTCGCCTACGCTTCGTATTCACTGGTGTGGTTGGGGACATGCCTTTTCAAGGGCACCTTTACAAGCTGAAGCGGCACTTCACTGCCGCTGACATTTGCCCTTTGTGTTTATGCAAAAAGGATGATGCAGGTGAGGTCTCGCAGAACCCAAGCTGGCTTCCTACAATGGGTGTGTCTGTACCGTGGGATACAAGCTCGCCGCCCGAAATATCAATCGTCCCTGGGTTGGGCAGGCCTGAAGCTATCCGCCCAGACATCTTCCATTTGGGTCACCTTGGAATTTGTCGTGATGTTTATCTGGGATGTATCATTTCTTTGGCCATGGTGTTTGGGCACTTCGGTGGCAAAGCTGTTCGAAGTCTGGATGGGAAACTAGCGAATGCATACCAGCTTTTCAAAAGCTACTGCCACCTACGTCACAGCACACCTTTTGCAAAGCACTGGACTCGTGAAAACTTCAATTTCAAAGGTCCTCGATATCCCGATTGCAGCTTCAAGGCCTCGGACTCGTATTTGATCCTGAAATGGTTGGAAGATTATCTTTCGGGACCTCCGTGGGACGACAGCACAGGCATCCTGGGATTGATGCTTTCAACCATCGTGGCACTGAGCAGCTTTTATCATTTGTGCTTCTTGGCAAGCACAATGTCTACCTTACTGGCTGTATGTCTACATAAGGCTCTGTAACTCAGTGTCCATATTGTTCAGAATGATTTTCTTTAGGCGAATAGGGCTACAGGAAACCCCGCCCGAAATAGACCCCCGAAACCACCCTTACTCTCCAGGCTACACGTCTCCGAGTCGACAATGGCTTCGTGACAGCTTGGCCAAGCAAGTGGAACAATCGTTGCAAACTTTCTTATCTGATTACTACAAGCTGGCACTATGGGCTTACAGATCAGGAGTACTGGTTTACAGATTCGTTCCGAAGCTTCACGCTTGGAAACACATTCATCTGCGGCTGCAGGGTGAGCTAGCCTTGGCCCGGGGATACACTTTTAACCCTGCTATTTACGCCACGGCGAACGACGAAGACTTTGTGGGCAAGGCAAGCAGACCGATTCGAGATCTACATAGCGGAAATGCAAGCCTCAGAAGGCTCGAGCTTTATCGAATCGAGTTGCAGCGAGAGTGGGGCTAGTGTCTCGAAGCTGGGTGCCCGGCGAAGAAAAATGGGAGGCCATCCGCAAGCGATCCTAAACCCTTTAAACCCTATTCCGCAAGCTATCCTAAACCCTACAAACCCTATAAGCCCTATGAGCCTTATAGACCCTTATGAGAGTTGTCCTTTCAGCCTGTCTGATGCACTATGTTGCTCCATGTGTGTGCCGACGTCTGAAGCTTGATCGTTGGGATGGGTCGGCGAGGCCGGGCTCACAACATGAACCCGAAGCCCTGGATGCTGAAGTTCTCCATGCATTAACCCAATGATTCTCTCCACCCTATAACTCCTCAATTTGGTCTAACCAAATATATTTGGTTATGACCCCAAAACCAACAAAAGGGACTACAACGGAGACTACAGG